AGCCCATTATTAGAGCCCACTTAAATACACCCTAGATCTATGTACGGCCATATTGTTGGAAGAAGTTGTTTGTGCGCGCGCGCACGTGCATTAGTTAAAAAGAGGCAATTGATTCTTTCTATTTTCTCTCTTCATGGTGCAGATAAACGAAACATGTCTTCCTCTCTTCTTGGTTACATATTGCAGCCACCACGTTGTGCTCTTTTTGGATACATTAAATTGAACAATCGAAGTAAAACATAGTTATAGGTTGGAGCCTATTGGTTGTATATGTTGATTTGGGATAAGATACTACAAATTGAGCTGGGATTCCACAAATTAAAGATCAATTTCATAACAAATGGTATCAAAACGTGGTTAGTATGGATTTTTTACCAAAAAAAAACCTAAAATTGAGGAGAAAATCAACAGAACACAAATCAAAGTAAACTACCTTGATTTTTTGCAAAAATTTGTCCTGCAACCTTGATTTTTGGCCAATCCAGAAGTCTTTTGATGAAAATGATGCCGGATTCATGCTATGCAAGTAGAGGTGTAGCTGGGGATAATGTGTGTGAAGGCAGCAATGGCACATAAGCATTCAGGCTACTGTATGTGAGGGCACATGGTGTTGATTTTGGGGACGATCTTTTCAGAAAAATAACTTTTGACATTATTTCTAACAATTTGATATTGTTAGCTTTTGTGTTAGGTTATACAATGGATCTGATGGTTTTTCCCCTAAACACTCGATTTGCAATTATCGATTGATCGTGTTGTGTAGTTGCTAGAGCTTTAGGGCGAATAATGCTGACCCTAAAGTTTGATAAATTCACATCTCTCATTATTTACAATCTGTAGATTGATCCGTTCTGGTAAATGGGCTTATCCCATTTAAATTCCTGTGTTAACAAGTAATCGTATGGGTGACATTAGAATTAGAGTTATCGTGTGAGGTAACCATTACTTGTACTAGAAATTTAGAAATTATTTATCCTGTTTGAAGTGTTGGGTTTAATTATAAGTTAATTATTAATTTTGTCTTTTAATTGCCATTAAGTTACTGTATGAAACTACATTGTGTGAGAAACTGAATTTTTTGTTAAGATAGCTACTTGTTGCATTGATTATTCCATTAAAAAAAACCTAGACTTGACACTCTTTTGACCTTGATATTGAGATCTCGAACCTCATGGAACCCTAAGAATTTAGAAAGGTGTAGACTATGGCCTTTAGGTTGTTCTATTTTTCAAAATGTCTTCGTATTTCAAAGTAGGAATTTTCAATGAAAAATAAGATTTTTCAATTTGGAAACAAAAGATGAAAAATTTTGGTATTAACAAAAAGTTTCAAAAGCCATAAACGGCAATTTTTCCGTTAATTTGATAGAAGCATAAAAAGAAGAATATGATAAACTTGGTTACACTTCAATTATTTTAAACCTATTAGATACTGTTTTGAGAAAAATTAAAAAACTTGATTCCACAAAAGAATTTGAGAAAAAGTTGGATGAATTATATTTGCTTAAATCTACTCCTAACATAATGTACTTGAAAGATTTGAAAATGAACCATTCAAAGGATCTTGAAGACAATTTAAATATTTTTAACAAGTTTGTTCAAGATATAGTTAATTGTGATAAGAAGGTGTCTGAAACCTATAAGACCATTATTTTGCTCAATTTTATGCTTAATTCATAAAAGGAGGTTAAGAATGTAATCAAGTATGGCATGAACACCTTAACACTCGATATTGTCATAGATTCCCTTATGAGTAAGGAGATAGAGCTTAAGGCTGAAAAAGATAATAAAAGGAGCGGTGAGATACATATAATGAGGAAGAGAATAAAGTTTAAGCAAATAAGTTTGGGTAAAACTCAAGATGGTAATGACTCAAGTGTTGATGGAGGTAAGAAGAATGGCAAATGTTAGGACAAGTACGATGGTAAGTGGTATTACAGCTGTGGAAAGACGAGACACTTTATGAGAGCCTATCTTAAGAAAAAGGATAAACGGAAAGGTAAGGTGAGAAGTGAGAGAAATGTTGCTTTTAGGTCGAGCGATGACCTAATTAAGATTTATTGAAAGTAAACCTAGTTACTGTATATGCATCTGTGTGTGATTTTGCATGTGTGTTATTGCTTAATTCTATTGCATTGTTATATATTGTATTTCAATATGTTTTATATGCGCATTCCATGATTTTGAGAACAATCTAATTACTTTGTATAATGTGTTTACATGCATAATGGGCTGTGATGCATTAGCAGTAAGTGTGTATTTGTGTTTTTGTGTGTCTTATTGAAATGTGGAGTATAGATGCTTAAGGATACATTGTGGTATGTACCGGAGGATGTGGAGTGTGACATTTGAATATATAAGTGGGATGTGATTAAATGTCTGGAGTCTTTCATTTGTGAAGACCCTGATTAGGCGAAATATGGGAGTGACATTTTTGCCACTTTTGTGAAGTGGAGACCTATTATCCACTTAGCTTGAAAGAAATGAGGTAGTGGTAGAGGATTGTCATGGTTTACCAGCTAGACATAAATTTAGTAACCAATCCAGTGAGCATGGGAGGCTATGAGGATAAATGTGTTCTCAAGGACTGAACAACACGAAATGTAATACTACAAATGTGTGAGATTTTTTTCGTGAGGTTATTTATGCATTTGCAGAATATTTATGCATTTGCAGCATATGTTTTGGCCGTTTGTTTGATTAATTTGGTATTAGTATGTTGTTCTTCGTGAACATGTTTGAAAAGATCTATGTGTGATACTATATTATATCTTCATCGCATGTATGATATGCTCTTAATTGATTACTGTGATTACTGGTTCCTACTTGGGTATTTTTGACATAGCCCTGTTGAGTACATGGAGTAGGTATGATATGTTTTTGTGTTCGAAACACGAGGTAAAATTTGTGATATCCCAATTTTATTGCTTACTTTGATTATGCTGATATTGACTTTATATTTTGATTGCTTGCAAGTTAATTGGGTATCGAGGTAGAGATTTATTGGGTTTTGATACCCAATAAATTCCGAACGAAAATGTTAAACGATTTGAATTAAGTTTCATAGATCTCAACTAGTAAGTGAAATTATTATCAACATATCAATCAATTGGCTTAACCCGAAAATGATTTGGGGACATTGGAAGTAACTTAATTAAGTTAATGTTGCTCACAATCATTTACTTCTTAGATGACTCTCCTTTTATGTTCCGGCCCCTTTACCGTTTGTTGGTCCATGAGCCCATTATTAGAGCCGAATTAAAATACACTCTAGATCTATATATGGCCTTATTGTTGGAAGACGCTGTGTGTGCACGTGTGCGATAGTGAAAAAGAGGCAGCTCATTGTTTGAATTTTGTCTCGTCGTGGTGGAGATAAACGAAACCTGTCTACCTCTCTTCTTGATTATATATTGCAGCCACCCTATTGTGTTTTTTGTAGAAACATTGAGTTAAGCAACCAAAGTAAAACATAGTTGTGGATTGGAGTCAATTGGTTGAATGTATTGATTTAGGATGAGATACTGCCAATTGTGCTTAGATTCCATAAATTGAAGATCAATTAGCAACAGTTTTGAAGTTTTCATAAGGACCTTCGTAATCCATTTTTTGGATTTTCATTTTGGCATCACATTTTTTCAACTTATTTTTGAGTTATGTTCTTTACGCATCAGGGTGGATTCTTGTTACTGTTTCGGAATATTCATGGTGAACTTTGCAACGCTTCTTTCTAATTTAAAATTTGCTAAACGAGGTTTAAAATGATGAGTCGAAGTTGGTGGATAGAAAGGATTTAATAATTCGATTTAGTTTCTGCTTTCGAACGTTAAATAACTAAATTTCGACGTAAATTTGACTTATCTCGCTCAAATAATTAAATATAAATATATGAGGTAGTCGGTCCAATCAAAGACCACTACGTTGTTATTGATTTTATTATTAATAATAGAGGGTAAAACTACATGACCCTTATGTGCATGGTGTAGACAATGATGCTCCTTAGTAAAAGCACCAAATACCCGGCGGTTTTGGGGCAATCCATATTTCCTTGAATGCCATATTTTCTTGAAAATCAAAGACACTGAAAATTATATGGATGAAGAAATACTTGTTTTCACGAAGAATATAGTTATATCTTAAAAAAATGTTGAGCCAGAAAATTTTGCTATTAATGATTACTAATTTCCTTGTAATTAATTATTCTATAGCTGTTTGCTAATAATAAAGCTGTATTTCCGTAATCAGTTGTTAAAACAATATGATCACTTGTAAAAGTAGAGAAGTAGAATATTTGAAAATACTATTAATACACTGAAATTTTGATTTAGGTCATCACACTTTAAGATATAGTTCAAAATTTTTTGTCTTGTATTAAATAAATCTTTCAAGCTAGTTGTTGATGATGATTGATCGATCACCTGGTTACAATTTTGTCTATCTCCATTAATTTGATTAAACACAAAAAGGTCAGTTGACATCATTACAGTTTGTAAACGTCAAACTAATTCGTTGCAAAAGCGATCAAATTGTATTATAAATTTAAGTTTCATGATTTCAATGATCAATATGAAGTTTCACTAAAACTGCTCAAGCATTCACTATAATAATGTTGGGCAAAAGTAGTAAAACTAATTTTTTAACAAAAAATTGAATCAAGATGCAGGGTATCGATCCCCATACATCTCGCATGCTAAGCGAGCGCTCTACCACCTAAGCTACATCCCTGTGTAATATTTTTTTTAATGTTATAATAAATATTTAATAGTATAAATATTTCCGTTTTTCTTGAGCTTTTTATTTTTATGGGGATCAATTGAATAAATGTAAAGTGTCGGCTTCACTTACTGCTAATGGAGTTACGGCGAGATCCATTTATGATCGTGGACACAATTAAGCGAAAGGGTTTATGCTAGTTTGATCTAGAGCAGGTTTGCTAGAGCTTCAAAGGTTTAAGTAATTAACAAGTTGATTTTAAAATAAATAACCTTTTATTAATCAGAATTAAAATTAAGTTGCTTATTTTAACCTCAACATAATCACTTGCAACCCAACTCCTTTCACTTAAAAGCAAGAAAAACATAACCTATCAGAACATATTTCGAAACAAAAGGTAACTTTTTCTTCCCTTCCTCTTGCTGGTTCCTTCAGCCTCAAGATATAACCAGCAAATCATTGGATATAGTGACAGGTCGTTCAAGAAACTCAAAAATGGCTTCAATTTCCTGTTCCATTCATACGTTTCCTCTCCCTTTTGATCTATACTCATATATTCTAGCCCAGAAAAGATAATGCATGAAATTCAATCCACTAAGAGCACACAGTAGCCAGTAAAATCTCTCCAAGTGATACTGATTCAAGTTGGCTCCTGATAGCCATGGTTTGTGCTTCGAATCATCCGTTAAACTGTTAACTAATGACACAATTGCAGTGCTAAGATAATATCCCATTGCCAATGACGCCCAAGATAGAGAAGTGGCCAATGATCTCATGTTAAAAGGCGCTTCGGTGAAGAAAAATTCAAGCAGCCCGGCTAAGGTGAATAAGTCTGCTGATCCAAGAAACAAGTACTGGAAAGCAATGTAGAAGAAAGTAATGGGCAGTGGTTTGGTCGAGTCGAGTAGTTTTGATTCTGTAGCGACTTTCTTGCGCTTGATCTCGACCAAAGCTGCTATAGCCATGGCTAAGATGGAGAGGACTAGGCCGACTCCAATGCGTTGTAAGTGAGTGATACCTGTCTCGGTTTTTGTTACTCGACGAGTGAATGGAATTATGATGTGATTGTAGACTGGCGCGAGGATCATGATGAAGATTACGGGGAAAACAGGGAGTGAAGCAGGCGGGATATTTAGGGAGCCGAGCTTCGTGTTCATTGTAGCAGCTTGTTGGACTGAAAATGTGGAAAGTTGAGCAAGACAGCAATTGAGCATGATGGTGCAGGCAAAAATGGGGAGGATTTTTATTACAACCTTAACTTCTTCAACTTGCTGTACTGAGCACTTTAATGTTTCACTGATTGGTTTGTCAAGAACTGCTCTGTTGAGGAACTTTAGACTTTCAGATGGAGCTTCAAATATTGCCCTCAAAACTCTGCCATTTTCCATTGCGGCTACTTCCTTGGAGTCAGGAATTGGAGAGGGGCTCGTCGCCATGCTTACCACAACATTGCTCGAACTTCTCGGCATGAATGCATTCAGTAAGGCAGAAATAAGAACCTGTGCAAAGAATAAGGTAGTGTTAAGGCATCATAAGTGGAGGAAAAAAAAAAAAAAACTAAGCCCAGCACAGATTGCAGGTTCGTCTCATCTCACGTTAGACGTATTACCAAACATGCTAGGATGGTGTCTCCCCAGAGATTTCTTATACCACCGATATAATACTGATATGAAAATATATGATACAGGATTTTCTAAGGCGATGATGTTACCTTAAATATAGTTGTAAGTGGACTTCCTTGAGGTTTCTTGTTCCTGTAAAACCTTGAACCAGATAAAAAGATTGGAATTGACAACAATATTGTGAAAGTGGAAATTCCAAACCCCCATTCCCACCCTTTATTGTCCTCAATCCATACCACTAGTGTCACAGCAATTAAAGCACCACAAGAAAGGCAAAAGACAAAATAGTTGAAGAAAGTTGATCTTTGCTTCCTTCCTCGAGGTGTATTTTCATCAAACTGTTCAGCTCCATGGGCCGGTAGTGCTCCCTTTATACCTCCGACCCCCAGCGCCACCAGATAAAGGCTTAAGAAAAGCATTGTAGCTTTGGCACCATGAATTTTCTGGCAAGGAATGTTGGGGGTGGTAGGGATACATTTTGGTGGCTTCAGGGATTCTGAATGTGCTTGAACTGTGAGTATTAACAAGCCCTGTTCCATATATAATCAAAGGTTTCAAGTATTAGTAGCACGTGGATTGAATAGCACCGGACAGTTTAATAAACGAAACTTAACTAGTTAAAATTGTGTTTATTATAATATCAAGGCTTGTCTAGTACTTTATAAAATCGGGCATTAAGTATATAGTTGGGCATTAAAAAGAAGGGAGTGATTTTATAAAAATTCCCAGTTATCAAATCTAACCTACTGTGTATCAAAAATACTACAAGAATATGTTTCCACAATTAGTTCTATTTACTACATGAGTTCTTCCCATTCATCAAGAATTTGGATTTTCTTCACTAGGTTTATAGGGCCAATTTGGGATAAATTTCAATGGCCACCATTAGAATGTGCCCTTGAGTTCTGCTCGAGACAAAAGTATGAATAGCTTTCTCGAGAATGTTTGATACCTTGAACTAAAAATGAAAAATAATAATTTTATCACGTCACTGTAATTTATTATTTTTGTACAATCCAATGAACAAAACATGCTTATCGAGTGTATATTATTCTAGCAGACAGCAAAATTGTTATATAGTTTCTAAACTAGCCATGATATGTTATTAGACTAATTTTTCACTGATAATTACGAGTTTTCACAACATGGGTTCTTTTATTCAACAAAACTAGTTTTAATTTTTATTTTTTTAAATTATTTATTTATTTATTTTTTTAACACAAGGTTATTAGGCCCTAATTTGAACGAAATTCCAATGGTCACCGTTAACTGTGCTCTTGCTCGAGTCTAATGTATATATGAATATCGTATTCAAGCGTATTAGATAAGTTGGGCTAAACTTGATAACTAACAAATTTAATCATATGTGCATCTTTCTTAATCTTATGCATCTCTATCGTGTCCAACTTGCTAAATAAATGTAGTTCTCAAATCTCAAGTCTAAGCTATTCTTTTGGCCATACAAAAATTGTATAATATTTCAATACTAACCATGATATGTCACACTAGTGATGTTGCTTAATGAATGTGGTGGAACGCACTGTGGGCTCATTGCTATAGGAAGTTACAATCAAATAGAAGGCTTACCAAAATGGTAACCACACACCCGTTCCATCTAGAAGCACTAATATGTTACTAATTGTTACCAAGCATTTATATCTTAAAATTGATTAAGCGTTCCATTAAAAAAACATAAACCTATACAATACTAAGAAAATTGTATGGTCTAGTGAAATACTACGTACTACATACTTTCTTATTATTTGTTATGATATAAGACAAAATTCTACGCATCTACTCAATACAGGAATTTCACATGTAATGTTTAACCTACGCTTAACAAAGTGTAATAAGAATATAAATAAATAAATTACTATGGTCTCGTTTAATATTTTTAAAAACAAAACCATGTGTGGAAACCGGTGGTGATAAGCTATTTGTTTGACACTTGAAGTCTTATCGTGTAAGGGGACATAATATTAATGCTAGAAAACAAACAATTTTCAACATAATTGAGAAAATGAATACAATTTTATACAAAAATATGGGTCCCCCAAAATCACTCGGTCTTCGTAACCTCATACATTGATGTATAAAATGCTTGGGACCCATAAAAATATTATCTTTGTGACTTTAATTATATTATATCGCGACCTACATTGAATGCAAGTCTACGTGTTTTTTCAAGAAAATCAATTGCCGAAAGTTTGTTAGATAACAAATTATTATATTGTATGATTTGCTTGGTAGGGCAAATTATATTTGTCATATTCATATAATTGAGGGGAAAAATCAAAGAAGAAAGAGATGAACCATAAAAGGAGATTTTAAAGTGTTTTTTTTGATATGTAGCCACGTGATGACTTGTGAACTTGGGATATGATCAAAGATTTTAGGCACTTTTGCATTAATTCTCCACCCTCTTATGAACAATGGTTTGACCTGAGTATCACTTTTTTCTATAGAAGAAATTAAAATATATATATAAAAAATTTGAATATTTTGACTAATTACAAAACCCAAACTAATTACTTTTAAAAGTTTAAAGTATCACTTTTTTCTATAGAACTTGAAATAAAAAAAAATAAAAATAAATATTTTGACTAATTACAAAACGCAAATTAATTACTTTTAAAAAGTTTAACGATTGAACGTGCTACTATTTTATATGTTTCGTCATTATAAAATAATTCAAATAAATTTAAGCGATCTTAAAAAATCTAGCACTGGAAAACTTTGTGTTTGTGTATATACATGCATGCATTTCAATTTTCAACTACCGTTTTCCTTCAAAAATTAAAAAAAATAATAACACTATGCCCCTATTTGGTGGGGATTAAAATTAAATTTTTAGTAAATTTTGATAATAATTGATTAAATTTGTTGAAAGATTTGGGGTCGAAATATATGGTTAAAACTAATTGTAGACTGATTTAGATTTTAATCCCTAAAAAAACAGGTACTATATGTACAAATTGAGGATCATCTACATGTGATGAAACGGATTAGATGTGGTGAAACAATGAGGTCAATTAGATCATCACAATTTATACATATAACATTACACAAAAATAAAGGGGTGTATGCATCAAAATGTGTGAAGGCATTATTACTTTGTAATTTCACAATTTCCAACTTAATTTCTGAAACATAAAATTAAATTCTATCCCATGTGCAGTTCATTAATTCAGTTTGAAATATTTTACAAACTTTTCAGTATTTTACGATATAATAAGTCAAAATTATTAGCCTTTCTCGCCAAATATCTCACTTCTTTAATTTCGTTTAATCTAGTATTCAAGCACACAAAAATATTCAATGACTTGTTTGATAAGGCCAGGAAATATAATGAACTAGATAAACGATCGAGTCCTATTCAATATTACGTACCGAACATGGATGAGAAATGAGATGAAATGAGAAGTGAGAATAGGGTTGTGATTATTATTACCAGGAATTCAGTGACAGCACTTATAAGGTAGATATAATAAGTGGTGAAGAAAGCATCCGACAAGAAGCCACCAAGAAGGGCAAGAAGAAAGGCAGTTCCCATGAAATTAGTAACTGAATTTGCTGATTCCGATGGTGAGAGATGCATGTATTCAGACAAGTATAGCACCAAGTTGCTTGCATTTGCTAAATATGCCAAGTTTTCCAAAACCTCCACAACTGTCCCAATTACGTTAGTAAAATTTATGAGGACAAAAAACTAAAGAATAAAAGGGCCCTTTTCTTTTCTTGTTTTTATACCAAATATTAAGGCATTCAAGTTGGTCCAAAATGGTTATAACTTGAACAAGATTCTTGTGATCAAATTCAAATAATTTGGACTAGGGTTGGGGAAGGTAGAGCTTTCGAAAATTTGCTTTATCGTGAGACAATTGTTTAAACATTGTATGCATTAAGAGTAACAAATTTGAAAGAGGGCATTCTTTAGAAACAATAGAGCATATGTATCCAGGAATATGAGTGAAGAGGTTCAGTGTGAGAGTGAACATTTTCTGAGATTTGATTGACCTTGTGGCCAGCAGAGAATCTTATTCTCTTTGTGAGAACTTCTAGATTTGAATTTAATTTAAACAAAAAAACGAAAAAAAAGAGCAATTCGTTGGGCTCGAGTTGTTTGCGAGCGAAAATCTAAGTCATTTACGATAACAAGTACGTGTTCTAGTATCCTAGGAACGATAAAAAGTTGGTGATAAAGGGTTATTTACCCAAAACAAAAGACGCAGCCAGCATGCCACCATGGAAGCCTTTTAGTGCAGGTCTGTTCCTGTAATCTACATAGCCATCCCATGTCCCAATCTGATTTTCTACTTCCTGAATGAACACGATGAAGTTCAAGCTATTTATGAAGAAGATAGATATATACAAACATATGTTGTTTCAATATATGCAAATAAAAAAATAAAAAATAAATAAATTGGAGGTAGCAAAGAAAGAAGAGGAACCCACCATTTCCCCCCCTTGTTTTCTTCAACTAGGGTGAGTAGAAAATGGAGGTGTAGTTGAATTAAGAAGATTGATATTTTTGTTTCTTCTTTTTGCCCTTTGGGAATCAAATAGGAAAGGAGATTGAACAAAGAGGGTGATTTAAAGAGTTGGAGAAAGGGTCCAACTCCAAGAGAATAGTTTGCTCCATTTTGAAAAATAGTGCAAGTATTTAAACCCTTTACAAAGGAGTATATTCATTTTCTTTTTATTCTAAAATATCTATGTGTGTGTATCGTTGTTGTCAATTTTTATATCCCGCTAGTGTACAGATCGTAACAAATAATAAAATGAACATAAGAATCCGAATATCGTTCCGATGGGAAGAACTATTTAACAATTGGTTCAAATATTCCTAACTTTAATTAGATCGAAAATAAATAATAAGTTTGTGATTGATGTCTAAATTATTCTAAATAAACTAAATGATCTAACGTATACAATTTATCAAATTTGAGTTTTAGAAGTATGAATATGGATGCTAGGACTTATAATTTTACCTATGGATCCCCTTTAATTCACCAATCAAGATTCATTACATTTGTAGCATTCGATCAAATTCTTCTAAAGTATTCAATTTACCCCTCTCGAGTTCTTACTAAACCTATTTAACTGATTCAATTCCGTATTTTTATGCGAATCAATTTTAGTTAAACTAAATATTAGTTCCAAGATTCATCTAATGACCGCAATAATTAATATAGGCATCTCTACCCATTATTCTAAATTATTGGAATTTACTATATGGTTTAAATCTAAAACTCATCTCTCGATTCGTAATAAATTCACAAAATCATTGAATAATTGGCCAAAAAATTCAAAAACATTAAATTTATGAATAAAATCAACACATGTGCATTTAAAGAATTAGAATCTTGAATAAAAGAAAGAAAGGGGCATGCATAGATTACATTGTTTGCCCTCACTATGAACTTAGCTACTCATAATGATGAAAGAAAAACAAAATGGATAGAGTTCATAACCGGATTTTGAAATCTTGATCAGGAAAAGAATTGGATCTTGCACCAAGAATCTTCTCCAACCTGAAAAGTCTTCAAACCCTAACTTTTGCTAGTTGATCTTGGTAATTATGTGTTTTTCTCTCCCCAAATTGTGTGGAATTCTTCTAGCCCGGTTGAATTCTCTCCCAAAGGTGGCCTCTAGATTGGTATTTATGCTTTCTTTAAGTCATTGTAAGAGTTTGATTGAAATTGGACTTTTAAAAGAAGAATCAAACTTGGAAAACCCTAACTATACGCGGTGCAGCGCCTAGGCGCTACGAATGGATGCTGACTTTCGAGAAAAAATTAAGCTATGTGGCACCTAAGCACTGAGGGATAGCGCCTGGGCGCTGTCATCAGTTTCGATTGCACTACACAACATTCAGTATGTTTATCATAATTTTTTCTCTCAGTATTCGATAGAAACGATTCAAAGTATGTTGGAAAGCTATCTCAAAGGGCTACAACTTTAATTTAAATATCATTTTTCAATTCGAATATTTGCTATGTCAAAAATTGGTCTCAATATGAGACTAAAAATTCGGAGCATAGCTTTTTCAGTTGGAAATTGATGTGTAATCATACTTTGATTATATTCATTACCTTGACTTTTGGATTAAAAAAAAAAGTCATTTATGAAATTTTTGTTATTAATTCTAAATTAGTTAACATTCACATTAATCTAGATTCAATGAATTTTCACTTGATGAATCTTGAATTACATGAATCTAGAGTTATTTTAAATGATTTTATCTAAAAATTTTAATGGATGTTTAAATTTATGTATTAACATTTAATTTTTTATATATTAAATGTAATATAAAAAAATTACTCATTTATAATATTTCATCATTACAAAAAATTAGAATCACAGAAATTGAATTTTGAAAGTACAATTTGAGTACACTTTTTTCTCTTAAATTTCTATGTTAAATCTTATTTTCTTTAATTCGTCTGAGACCCATCAAATCCTCCAAAAAATTGGATCAAATATTACTTTTATATCACTTATAAAGTATTTTAGAATAACGTGCAATGCACGTTAAACTTTGACTAGTTATATTAAATCTCTAAATAGCTTCAATGTTGCATTACCAACATTAATATCTACTTTTTCAATGTAAAAACGTTGTGTGTGTGTGTGAAGAAATAAGTAAAATACTATTAGTTCATGAGTTATTTCAATTCCCGACCCTCGATGATCAAATTTTTTATTTTCATCACTCGTAAGATTCACACACCCCAAACTTATTTTTTCCTCTTTTCTCAGTGTGTGATCTAAGACTCTTTATACTGACTCCTCATCCTCTCTAATTTAGATGGATCTCACAAATTGCAAGTCAATATTTCAACAAATAAGAATTCTTCAAATTTTGATTGTTTCAATCTCCAAGACTCAACTAAGCTAATAATCTCTTGTCAAATATATAATTTTCTCCAATAAGTTTTTGGGACTTAATCAAGACATATAGTAAGTAAATATATAATCATTATTTTTTTCTTATTTTGTGTGCAAACTTCTCTCCATTAAGATTTCTAAATGACACTTGTAGCGAGCTTTATGCCGATGACTCCCAAATCAAATGATCCTAAGGCACCGAATTTTTAAATACCCTTGCAGGCTAGAACACTCAAGTCATAAAAGTTACGAAGAGATGTTTTGCAATGAGATAGCTTTTATATTTCTCTTTTTTTTTTTGCCATTATTAGTGCAATGCCTCTCATTAAACACTTATTCTCAAAAATCGACCCCTAACTTAAGATTTTTACCTAATTTTATTCATATTGATTTTAGACATTTCACACAAAAATTTACACACATGAAATCTCCATTCATATTCATATCTACCTACAACAGTATAATCATCCCCAAACTATTCTAAATTTGATCAAATGATGTATATTGTAGTAATTTTTGGATTTGGTATTAAAAAAACCTACTATTTCAACCTATCAAATATATGAATCAACTTATTACTTTATGATACTAAACTTAATTCATGTGTGAAAACAGTTCATAAGTTAACAAGTGATTCAAAATATATTTATCGATAAGGCTACTAACCCATACAAATAGACAATAAACAAGAAAATCTTTTTAAATTTTTTTTTCAATCTTTTCAATTTTTATTATATTTTATAAAATTAGAAACACAATCATACTGAAATAATAAAACTAAAAACTCAATATTTTTCACTCTAAACTTAAAGTAGACATTGTCCTCAATATTTTAAAATATAATCTAGCACATAAAGAAGTGGGAAAAAAGGAAGAATGTACTCCCCAGATTTTCCGTCTGATATTTGAGGTGGCTTGTTGGATTGATTTACTCCATTCTTTGTTAAACTACCTCATACTTGATATACATATACATTTGAAAGATAAAAAAAGACAAATATGAAAGTGAAGCAATTTAAAGACAATAATGTAACCTGCAGGATAACCATTTTTTTTTTTAACGTCTTTCAGACTTCAAAAAGTGTACCACATGTGTTTTCTACTATTTTTACTCAAATGTAAGATTTTCTTTTAATAGGCTTAATATAGATATAATGACTCTGTTGTTGAATCAGAAACATGCCTAAAAATGCACCTTAATAAATTACATGCAATGCAAATATAGAAAGTATAATAAATAAACGGATAAGAAATTGGGTTGCCTCCCAATAAACGCTTAATTAAAAGTCTTTAACTAGACTTTTGTACAAGTGCTTCATGGCACTTTGAATATGACTTTGAAAGTCCTTTTAGCTTGCTTAATTTGACTTTGTTCCATAGTTCACACGTCCTCCAAAATCGTACTTTGCTCTTTTGAATATGATATGACCTGCCTAAATTTCCCAATTCGAACTCAATTAAGAATATTTCAACTTTCTCCTTGACTTTAATCATAAATCAATGAAGTTGGAGGTTTGCATACTAATCACATCTTCTATGAATGCGACTAATTCATTTGGCTCCTTCGTGACTAATTTATTTGTTTTAACATGTTCTTCTTATTTAATTGATTTTTCAGGTTGAATAATGAAGAGATCTTCTATTAGCACATTATTTGGCTCATCTAAAATTGATTGATCTTCAATCTTTTTATATTTTTGCGTGATGATGTCTCTCATAACTATTTAACCATTATCATCTTGTTATTCATATGAATTACCGAAGATAGCTTTCCTTACTTCCTCTAGAATTGCCAATAACAAGCAATTTTTATTATAATGCAATGCACCACAATATTTACATGTCAGTCTAATCTTTCCATAAACAATAGATTTGATATTTAGCCCTTTTGGAAATCTATCATTATCAAATGCAATAGGCTGATCATATCTCCACTTTTTAAGTTCTTGCCTGAATAGGAATTCTCCAAAGAACATGTCACCTTCATTTAAGTCGAGATCAATCATTGTGAATTTTTGACCTCTTGCTTCTTTTAATTCCCTGTCAATGGAGCAAAAACAACTAAATCAATTGAAAAAAAAGGATAAAAAAAATATTAAAAAAATAAAACAAAAGCAAGATATAATTAAAACCAATATTAAATAAAAGAGTTCCCGACAATGACGCCAAAAACTTATTGTCAATTTTTCTATCCCGCAAGTATACGGATCGTAACAAGTAATAAAGTGGATATAAGAGTCCCATGTCGTTCCCACGAAACTACTATTTAACAATTGATTCAATTATTCCTAAATTTAATTTGATCGAAAACAAATAATAAGTTTGTGATTGGTGCTTTAATTATTCTAACTAAACTAAATGACCTAACGTATACAATTTATCAAATTTCAATTTTAGAAGTATGAATATTGATGCTCGGACTTATAATTTTATCTATAGATCCCATTTAATTCACCAATCAAGATACATTACAATTACAGTGTTCGATCAAATTCTTCTAAAGCTTTTAATTTATCTCTTTCGAGTTCTTATTGAGCCTATTTAATTAATTCAATCACACATTTCTATGTAAATCAATTTTAGTTAAACGAAATATTAGTTTCAAGAATTCATCTAATGACTGCAGTAAATAATATAGGTATCTCTAAACATTAGTCTAAATTATTGGAATTTACTATATGGTTTAAATCTAAAATTTATCTCTCGATTCGTAATAAATTCACAAAATCATTGAATAATTGGCCAAAAAATT